GAGGAAAACTCAGTGGGGAGAGTGTTATACAGAGGAGATTAGGGTAATAATAATAGCCGTCAGATTAAAGGACTTTTGTAACAGACTTTCTTCGTTCCGCTGATCTGGTTGGTGAGTTATTTTCTCTGTGTTTGGTGGCGCTGTAGTAGCTGGAGTGTGCGCCAAGTTCCTATTTTTTATTTTTCAATTTTTTTGGCTATTGATTTATTTTGGTTAAAATATTAATTTAATCCCTTAACTTTAAATTTATGACTAATATTGCCCCTATAACTTTAAAAAATATCAAAATTATCCTTAAATTTTAATTTTTAATCCAAAAAAAATTTTCCGTTAACAAAAGTATTACAGAATTTATTATTTTATCACAAAATTACTTCTTTTTTAAAATACTAATGACTTGTAAAATTAAATAATTATATTTTATCATCGTGATATATTTTTATTTAATATTTGATTGATATATAATCAAAATTAAAAAATCAAATTGATATTTATAATCAAAGTTTAAGAACTAAATTGGCATTATCTTCAAAGTTTAAGAACTATTTTGGTATTAAAAATTAAAATTTAAGGATAATTTTAGTACTTCTTGAAGTTAACGGATAATTTTAGTATAAATCTAAAAGTTAAGGGGCCAAATTGATATTTTAACCTTCTACTTTTAATTTTGCGTGGGAAAAAAGGTGCAGTACATTAATCTTATGATCAGAAATTTAGTCCTTTAATAAATATTTATTAAAAATTATTAAACTAATTTATTTTAAAAGAAAAAGAAAAACTTATTATTTTTAGTTGGAGGGATTTTTTTTCCTTGATACATTACTTCTCCTTATCTTAATATTAAATTAAGGTTTTTATATTAATAAATATAAACTAGGTTAAATTCTTACTGGTGTAGAAGGGACAAATCTTTAGAACTTAATTGGTTAAAGAACCAATTCTAACAAGAAAATTTTTAGTGAAAAAAGTAGTTAGGAAAATATTATATAAAAAATTAATAAGTTTTATAGTGAAGTTTTATTAAAAAAATTTTGAATTGTCAACTTTTTTTTGTTTAGTAAAAAATTAGTATAAAGAAAGTTGGTTAAAAAGTTGTCAAATATGTTCTATATAAAAAAAGTTGGATAAAAAAAATTTACTTTCAAAAAGTGTAAAAAAAAAAAGTTTATGATTAAGAATTATGTTAAAAAAATAAAAATTAAAAATATCACTTTTACTTTTATTTATTATAGTATTAATATGTAAAAACATAAAAATAACTTAAAAAGGAAAGTTTAAAAGACCTTAAAAGGAAAAGATTTCCCCTCCCAAATACCCCCCTAACTGTTTAGAATGTAGTACATGTAAAGTGGTCTAAATATCTAATTACACCTTGACTATCTTTTTTTTTTTTAAAGAATCTGCTACCTAATTAATAATCAAATCAAGGATGGTTGTTTTACAACTAAAACAAAGCTTCATTTGAAAAAAAAAAAAACTATATTAGTAATACTATATTATATGGTGGCCAAAAAACAAGAGTAATATTATATTATGTGTTTAGGGTGATGAGATCTAACTTTACCCAAAAGTTGTTACAATTTAATTATATTTTTAGTATATTAAAAGCTAATTACTTAGCATTGTAGAAGTTTAACCTCCTGAATTTGAATTAGTTATATTACTTAAGGAATTGAAATTAATTTATTATTTATAACTTTGTACTACTAAACTACATAAGATGTTTGCCTTAAATATGAGATTTAGGGCGTGGTATACTGGTATTATTCTCAACCACAGTTAAGAAGATGCCTCTTAAGTGTTGACTAAAATAGATGCAAGATTTGCAGCTTCTTAATTGTTTATTATTCCCCTTGCATCTGAGCATGAGGAGGGAAGCGGCAGGGGGTCTGAGATACCCAAGCAACATCACCTGGAATAAGCCGCCAATGTTTGTTTCCAAGATGGCAGACTGATAAATCCCTATCACTATTAATTCTAACGAAATAGCAATGATATCTCTCATCTCCTCCCAACCTCGATGATGAAAGTTGGGCTCCTGTGAATAATCTTTTAATTTAATAATTTATATTTTATAATTTAAAAAAAAATTTGTACTGTAAAACAAAATTTTTTAATCTGATTTTGGCGGCGGCCCTCTAAATATATAATTTTAGTTTCATTTGTTAGAAACTGAAAAGAAGGAGAAATATCTGAAGAAAGGTTTATTGCTTTCTTGAATTATACTGTATGTACAATGACTTATATATAGGTGTTTACAAAGAGAATATTCTAAGGTATAAAGTATATAAAGAGAATATTCTAAAGTATAAAATATTTACAATAATTCTATATATAATTATGTTCACATCTTAACATCCCCCCTCAAACTCAAGGTGATTGTGATGAAATCAACTTGAGTTTGGAAAGAAGAGTACGAAAGCGTCCAGGAAAATGAGCCTTGGTAAAGAGATCTACTGGTTGATCAGCGGAGCCAATGAAAACCAAATGAACAGTTCCTTGTGCAACATGATGGCGAATAAAGTGGCAATCAACCTCAATGTGTTTAGTGCGTTCATGAAAGACATCATTATGAGCAATCTGTATAGCACTTTGATTATCACAATATAAATCAGTAGAGGAAGGTTGAGGAATGCCCATATCTTCAAGAAGCCACCGCGATGAAAGAAGTTCTGATGTGGTATCCCCGAAAGCTCTATACTCAGCTTCAGTACTAGAGCAAGATGAAATAGCTTGTTTCTTACTCCACTAAGAGATGAGAGAATTACCAAGGAAAAGACAGTAACCGGTGGTAGATCTACGACCAAAAGGATCACCTGCCCAATCAGCATCAGAGTAAGCGCAAAGCACAGGGGAGGAGTTGGCAGAAAAATGGAGTCCATGAAATAATGTTCCCTTAACATAGCGAATAATGCGAAGTACTGCTGCATAATGAGTGGAGCGAGGAGCAGCCATAAACTGACTAACAATGTGAACTGCATATGCTATATCAGGGCGTATCGTAGTAAGATAAACCAAACTACCAACCAATTGCCGATAGCGAGTAGGATCAGAAAGTGGAGAGCCATCCATAGGTGTAAGCTTGACATTAGGTTCAAGAGGTGTAGAAACACACTTTCCATCATTGAGTTCAGCTTTAGAAACAAGATCGGAGGCATACTTTACTTGAGAAAGCAGGTAGCCATCATCTGAAGAGGTCACTTCAAGCCCCAAAAAGTAGCTCAGAACACCAAGATCTTTCATCTCAAATTTCTGACTGAGAGATTGTTTTAACTCCTCAACACCTACGACATCATCTCCAGTAATAATCATGTCATCAACATAAAGAAGTAAAAGAACCATACCCCGAGCAGTCTTACGGATGAACAAAGATGTATCATGTGGACTGGAAGTAAAACCAAACTCACTCACAGTAGCACTAAACTTTGCATACCAGGCTCGAGGGGATTGCTTCAACCCGTATAATGCACGGCGCAATCGACATACCTTGTTTGGAAGATGGTGGAGCCCAGCAAGTGGTTTCATATAAACTTCTTCTTCTAGGTCACCATTTAGAAAAGCATTTTTCACATCCATCTGAAACAATTTCCATCTCCGTATAGCAGTGATAGCAAGCAAACTACGCACAGATGTAAGACGAGCAACTAGAGCAAATGTCTCTTCATAGTCAATTCCATACTCCTGTGTAAAACCCTTGGCAACCAAGCATGCCTTATAATGCTCCACAAAACCATCAGATCGCGTTTTGATATTGTACACCCATTTACAGCCTATTAGAGATTTTTCAGCAGGGAGATCAACTAAATCCCATGTACGAGTGTTCTCAAGAGCTTGTAATTCATCTTG